CTTAATTGTGTTGAACTGAATATGCTGGCAACTACTTAAGTCTCTATGTGCAACATATCTTAGCTGCCTTCTGAAACTCAAAATAATTCTAAAATTGAAGGGGAAAATAAGATAATACAAACGTTACCCAGAAAAAGGCAGTCCCCAAAAGAAAGAGTAACCCTTGACTGATTGGCACTAGTAATACCGCAGCAACATTAAAAAGAAAAAAGTTCAAGTAATTAATTGCTACTTTATTACTTTACTTAAAGACTTGGGGGGGGTCTTTTTGAGACAGGGTCTCCCTGTAGCCACAGGTGGCTTGGAACTCTCTATGGAAACCAGGCTGACCTCAATCTCACAGAGATCCACCTGCCTCTGCCTCTCCAGTGCTGGGATTAAAGTTGTGAGCTATCTGTCACACCTGGCTAAAGAGACATTTCTTGACAAGTTTTCTAAATCTGATTATCTTTTGGTTTATATATCCTGAATAAACACTGCCTGAATGGGCTCACATTTCTTCACATTTTCATTCCATAATAATTCAGCCAATACAGAACTCTTATCCCACCCCACCCTCTAAAATCTTCATTCTAGCCTACGAAATTGCACAATTTAGAAGACTGTGATGCATCAACTGCTTTTGTACACAGAAGGACAAAATCTATTTTTTTAAATCATTTCAACTTATTTCGCAAATGCTTAAATTCTCTTGTCTAATCAAGGTTAGTTATTTAACATTCACTTTACAGAACACCTACCTTCAAAAAAGTTTGACTTTTAAAACCCCAAAGTAAAAGCTGTGGGATTATAATTTCCAAGTTCTCTACATATAATCTCATCTCTCCCCTTCTATTTTCTTTTTTAGAGACTGAAATTAAAACAGGTCAGTTCTAACCTGAGACAATAATTTCATATAAGTTCAACAGCTGTTTTAGGAGAGTTTAAATCATTTGTTAAACTCTAATATTTTAAATTTATAAACTTCAGAAGGCTGATAGCTTTTGAAGCTAACAAAAAAAAAAAAAAAAATCAGGGAAAAGTCGTCTTTTTTGTGTGCTTCCCAGAAATTCAGTTACAAAGCAGTCCTATTGTGTTTTTCATAATTTACATTTACTTTCTGGCAAAGCAGAAAGAAAAAAAAAAAAGAAGTCAAACTTGAAGGCACACAATAGGATTGAAAGATAGCATTTTTATTTTAAAATATGCCTTTGACATTTAAGTATCTACAAAATCAATATTTAACATTTATAAAAGATAACGGGTAAAAGAAATGGCAGCTGTTTCCCTGTGATGTCACTGAACAGGTGTGTGGTACCACATCATAACACAGAAAGCGGATGGATCCTTTGGCGATGTCCACAGAAAGCACATATGGAACTGGTATTGATCTTTTGACTTGTTTCCTCAGATACAACCAGAAAACAACCTGGGATTAGAAGAGTTCTGGTGACCCATCTGGGCAAATTTGGAGCAGACACTCTCCCAAACAGATCAATACTATCCAAGGTGCAGCTGAAAAACAGGATGGGCTTGTACCACTAAACAAACACCAAGCTGCTTATTCACAAGGGCAAAAGCAACATGGCACTTGTGTTTTCCACAGTGTGTTTGCAGGTGACCCCAACCCTGACCTAGAGGGCCACCCTTCCTGGGACCAGAAGTAATCCTGTGTTGGTCTTTCTCTTGCAGCAAAGGACGCCTATGTGTGGTGGCATTTTTGACAACAAGAGCTACTATGTTGGCTTAGCCAGACAATTACTTGATGCCAAAACAACTCATCAATGAAGCCAAATTAGATAAATGGAGGCTTTGAGTATTTTATACTACATAAAGGAAAATGAAAGAAAAATAGATGGCCTAATGTGGTAGCACACATGCTTTGTCATCACAGCACTCAGGAGGTGGAGGAGGAGTTCAAGGTCATCTCAGGTACATAGCAAATTCAAGGCCAACCCAGGCTATACAAGACCCTGTCTCAAAAAACAAGCAAACAAAAATTTACTTTTTGCTTAGTCACTTTGGAATTGTATGGGAGTGTCTTGGATTAATTTAGACAGCTTTTAGTGGCACTAGTTTTTTCTATAAAGCATATAAACTGTGTGGATACACCAAATACTTTTGTTCAGATATCCAGACATTCTTTAACTCACCCAAATTGGCTCCATTCTATTTTCCATTAGTCACATAGACAACCTCCCCTCTCAAAAAATTAGTGTGAAAAGATACTTCCATGATCCTTTTACATAAACAGACTATGTATACATAAGAAAATGAAGATTTAAATCTAATAAGAACTGCCAGATACATCAGAATTTTTATTACTTAATGTTAATTTTAAAGGGAGGGGGAAGGTTATAGTCTTTAAAGTAATATTCCCCCAAAGTACTGAGAAAATAAACTGAATTAACATGTAGCCCTATATTCATCTAGGCAAAATGACCTCATATAGGGGCCTGGAGAGATGGCTCAGAGGTTTAGAGGAGTAGAGCATGCAGAGGACAGGACACCAGTTCCCAGTACCTAGGTCAGGGGCCCTCTTCTGGACTTCTTCAGCACCTGCACTCTCAGGTACCCATATACATATAATTAAAAAAACTAAATCTTTTAAAAAAATGATCTCAAATACAACTGGCACGAATATTATTTAAACATCTCCCATGGTCCTATATTGAAAAAATCTAAGAAAACCTTATCAAAGGCTATCTGCTGATTTGGTAACACCCCCCCCCCCGGAAAAATGTATTTACACTGAAAAAAAATATAAAATCCTGTAATTACGTTTCAGTCTTAAAGACTTTTTGATGGTCATTGGTAGTCATAAGAGTCAATCATCTACTAAGATCTATGCACTTAAAATGTTTAACCTAGATATACAGTTTGATAAAATCTAGCTAAAACAGAAGCTGAATACAAATACAAAATTGTATGGGATGGGGAGGGGGGTCAAGTAACCATAATTGCGGGCATCCCTTTTTAAGTAGGTTTTCCCTGAGGTGCGGGTGGGGACCTATGAAGGGAAGAAAACAAACTTTTCCTCTAGCACATCACTATATAAGCATCTCTGAATAAAGAAGAAATAAATTCTACGTTGGAACTGTGCCATTAAGTGGCAGCTCCTGCAAGGGGGACAGTTTGCTATTAATTGTTAATGTCGCCTACCATTAGAGGGCACTAAACAACTCCACATTAATGCGTTGGAGGGAAGAGAAAAAGGAGACGGGGAGGAAAGGGGAGGGAAGAGTATGGGCAGAGTCGAGTAAAGGGAGGGAAGACAGAAGCTGGATAGGAGTGGGAAAGAAAGATGAGGGCAGGAATGGGAAGACAGGAGGGAAAGCGAGAAGAGCAAGGAGACAGGCAGACAGGCAGAATCAGAGACAAAAATGAAGCTGGAAAGATGCTGGATGTGGAGCCCTCAGAGCCGTCTGAAGTGAGCAAAAAGCCAGCCTCCCCAGTGCGGCCAGCGCTCCTCCCCTCCCGTCCTCAGGACGGTAATTATAAAGCGAAAAGCGGCGGCGAGGTCACCGGTTTTTACCAGCCTGCTGCACCGAATACGCGCGGTGCAGGTGCGGCGGCCGCGGGGCTTTGTGATTCATACCCACTTTCAAAGGGGGGCTTGGGCCCGTCTGAGAGGCACCCAAACAACTGTCTTCTAATATTAGCACGGCTGTATTTCGGGATCTATTATAGTCTGTCCAGACAGATCCCATTGTAATGGGATCTTTTATTAAAAGATTAGCACTATCTCCTGCAGTTGGTGGAAAAAAATCTGTTATCACTGAGTTATTTGCAGTTGTGGAGGGGGTGGGAGGGGGTTGATGGAAGATGGAGGTGGGAGGGCGAAAGGAGGACCTGGGGAGGGTCTGGCGGGGAGGGGACAGCACTGGGGCGGGGGTAGCGAAGAAGGGCGGATTTGAAATCCGTAGAACAAATCCCAATGACCTGCAAATGTCCAAGAATCTCTGTCTGCATACTTCGCTGACTGTCGTGGTTCGGGCTTCAGAAGCGAAAAGAATAGAAATTAAAAAGGCAGCCTTGGAATCAACAATATAGCATTTTCCGTGAAGTAATCGTTTTATATAAAAGGAAATATCGCCTCCTCAGTTTCATTCAGCCATGCCAAAAACTGTTATAAATGAGAAGACCCGCCAACTTAAAGCGAAGAATGCCAGGCAGTGCACTTCATAAACTGAGGCTGCAGAAGTTCATTGTCGATGTTGCAACCTTTTTCTTTCCTTTTTTTTTAAATGAGAGAGAAGAAAGGGAGGAAGCGAGGAAGAGAGGGAGGGGGAGGGGAGAGAGAGAGAGAGAGAGAGAGAGAGAGAGAGAGAGAGAGAGAGAGAGACTCAGGAGACTTAGGACAGAAACTGGGGCGTCTCTGGGCGGGGGAAGAGGGGGCAGACCGCCTACGTCGGCGCCCCCGCTCGGGGCTGCGACTCCAGACGCGGCGAAGTGAAAGGGGAGGAAAGAAAGGGAGAGGGTGAGACTGTGCCTGGGGAGGCCGGCTCCGAGGTGTTAAACATTTTTGTTTGCTTCTGACTTGTCTCCGAAGCGTTTGGCACGGCTGGAAGGGGGGCTGTTCGGGGTTTGGGGGGGTCGAAGGTGGCCGCAAAGTAAGACGCACCCAGACCCCAGGACACAAAACGTCGCCGGGTCCCCGCGCCCAGGCTGTGCAGGGAGGATCCTGGAGCTGCTCCCCGAAGCAGTTGCGCTCCCAGAAGCTCCGGGCTCCTCCCGCGTTTGCAAAAGTCTCTCGCGAGTCGGGAGAGGCAGTGCGGGGACCAACCCCCCGAGTCCCCGGGTCCCCGCGTCCCGCCAGCCGCCTGCTGCGGCGTCTCAGCTCCCACGCGCACACGCACACACGCGCGCACACTCACACTCGCCACCCCGGGCTCGCCCGCGAGCGGCGGCGTGCAGGACTGAAGTGGGTGTTTTTCCCCACTCCCCACCCCCCGACGCGTCGCCCCCGCCTTCCCCCTCCCTCCGGCTCCGACGCAAATAAGAACTCGGCGATTCCCCTCCTGCCGCTTTGATTTCGGGCAGGTCCGTCAGAACCTCGGGAAGGGATTCCTGAAGGTGGGAAATGTCACCTGATTCACACTGAACTTTTAAAAGCTCCCCACCCCCAAAGAGCCGGGCACACCCTCGGTCGCAGCCGCCCTCCCACAGCCCCCACACACTGGGAGACCGCCCACCGCAAACCGCGAAGACCCCTGTCTACATTTAAAGCGCGGCTGCGCCCGGCTTCTGACGTCCATTGAATCGCGCGGGCCGCCGCTGGCGAGCGCGGGGCTGCGCCGGGATCGCTGCGCCCTCCGCCGCTCGCCTCTGCGACGCGCGCCGCTTGCCCTAGCCACCCGCCGCCGCGCCGCGCTCCTCGGCCCGCGCCTGCCCCAGGATGGTCTGCGCGAGGCACCAGCCCGGCGGGCTCTGCCTCCTGCTGCTGCTGCTCTGCCAGTTCATGGAGGACCGCAGCGCCCAGGGTGAGTGCAGCGGGATGCGCCGGGAGGCTCGGCTCCCGCAGGGCTTCGACTTTTCTGCGGTCTCTACTTGGTCTGTTCTGAGCAATGCTGCTCTGGGAGGATGTTGGACCCACTTAGCTACTCGAGTGGCGAGGAGTCGGGGCTGGAAATACTGAAGTCAGTGGCACTTTAGGACAAGGAGCGGAGTTTGGAGCTCGGTTCTCCTTAAAAAGGAAAGGGCGTGCGTTGAGTGAGCTGGAGACTCGGGAGTTAGGGTTAGATGCTCCAAGTTCTGGCCATCATGACTTCAGATGTTATCTCCCCTGGTTGGCTCTAGAGAAAGGGACCAGCATCTGTAGTCTGGAGATTGCAGTCAACCCAATAGCAGCGTAACCTATCTCCCACATCTTTTGGTGACTTTAAAAAATGACCTGGGGTGGGGGATGGGGGAGAGATACCGAATTTTCCTGGGGCGCTGGGACGTGGTTTCAGAAACTTTGCCCAAACTTGGAAATGTGGGTGCTGAAATTTTTAGAGGGAAGTAGTTTTATGCTTAGTGGATGCTCCTTCCACCTCTCTCCCCCAGCCTCGCAAAAAAAGAAAGAAAAGGAAAAGGGAGAAAGGCCAAATTATTAGCCCGAAGTGTTTTGAGTACTTTGCAATTTTGCCTCACTCTGTTAACTTTCTGTGAAACCATGAACAACCCACAACTGTTTTAGACTCTGACATGGATTAAAGAGAAAATTTCTGAAATTTATCTTATAAAATTAAAAATGGATTTATTTTATTTCAATTAGTCTCTGAGCAGAATTTTTTACATAGTAATAACTGCAGCTTGCGCTCCAATTGTTAGTCATTTTGGTGATTCATGAGAAGTCTTCTTGCCTAAGTCCTAATACTTAAAAGGGACCCGGGGAAGAAATTATTTGCAAAGAATTCTTGCTAAAGACATGAGGTAGGTATATGTGAGACAGAAGTCTCACCCCATTTAGCACGCAGCTTTGCCTGTTTGAACGTTTACATTTTGTGTGTTGTAAGCTGCCCTCCCGGGCACTGCCCCTAACCGACTGCCCGACACTAGGCTGGACTGCCCGCCTTTCTGAGAGAGGTGCTTCCTGGGTGCCGGTACGTGGGCGCCAGGGAAAGCAGTCCTCGGAGATTTCGAAAGAAAGATCGTGGTGGCTGCGGGCGTGCTCCAGGGCTGGCCGATTGCAAAACGGGCCCGTCGGGCGGGCTGCTCCTCGAGGCCGCGCAAGGCAGATCCAGGCCGACCGGGTTGCTTTTTGCTTTCATTTTTCACAAGTGTCTTTAGCTTGATCTGTTCTTGATTCTTATTCATTCTCAACCCTCCCTTCTTCCTCTTCCTCTTACCTCCCTCGTCCCCCCCCCCACTTTCTTAAACCCTGTCACAAATAATTCCCTTACCGCCTACATGAAACCAACATGTAAAAACATCCGTCGCATCCTGTTTTTGTCAGGTTCTTTAATCTGCTCTTCGAGTCGCTGCAGGTTATGAAATGGGACGAATAAAAGTAAACAGTCTAGTAAAAGTCAATGCAGGCTGCACGTGCTGTGTCTGGGTCACTGGTAACTGACATTGATATGGCTAGGGCGCTGCGACTGCTGCTCTTGCCCACCTTGGTGATGGGGCTCCCCACTCTCTTTGGATATATTCATATTCATTCTCTCATATTCTCTCCTCCTCCTCCTCCTCCTCCTCCTCCTCCTCCTCCTCCTCCTATGGCTCTTACTTGTCCTTCTTTTCTGATTTTTTCATAAAGAGGGAGGTGCCAGCTCACTCCCCAGTGAGCCTCTTTGCCCACCCCCACTCTCGCCAACATCCTTCCTCTCCCTAACTCCCTGCCCCCTGCTCACTTATTCACCTCCTCATCCCTGTCTCTTCACAGCTGGGAATTGCTGGCTCCGCCAAGCCAAGAACGGCCGCTGCCAGGTCCTATATAAGACAGAACTCAGCAAAGAAGAGTGCTGCAGCACCGGCCGGCTGAGCACCTCATGGACAGAGGAAGACGTGAACGACAACACTCTCTTCAAGTGGATGATTTTCAACGGGGGCGCCCCCAACTGCATCCCCTGTAAAGGTGAGCGGCCTCCTCCCTAAGCCTCAGGCCCACAGTAGAGGGCGTCTTGCCCTCAGCAATCCCACTGTCTGGCTGGGGTTTAGGACTAGGAGAGATTTTCTGGGTTCCCCCATCTTTCCCCCAGCTGAGTTAGCTTGGTGGAATCCAGCCACAGGCAAAACAAGGATCACAGAGGTCCGCAACTAAGTGGTGGTGAAAGTGGACAACCAGTGTGGTATTTTGAGAGAGATTTGGATAGGGGCTTGGCCGGAGGTCCCCGCCCCTTTGCCCCCTTCTAGGCTTCCAGAGACAGCCTGGGTCCCAGCAGCTTGGCTACATGATTGCTGCAAAGCATCCTAAGTCCTCCTGCTGACCTGCTGACCACCTGGCCCTAGTTTGAACCCATGCCTCTTTCCAACTCCTAGAAACTTGTGAGAATGTGGACTGCGGACCTGGGAAAAAGTGCCGAATGAACAGGAAGAACAAACCCCGCTGCGTCTGTGCCCCGGACTGTTCCAACATCACCTGGAAGGGTCCAGTGTGTGGGCTAGATGGGAAAACCTACCGTAACGAATGTGCACTCCTCAAGGCGAGATGTAAAGAGCAGCCGGAACTGGAAGTCCAGTACCAGGGCAAATGTAAAAGTAGGTCCCACACTAGAGCAAGACCCCAGCTTCCTCTGCCAACTACACACAGTAATAGACCCTTGAAGACCCAAGGGGGATAGTACAGTCTGCATTAAGAGCCTAGTAATCAGAGTAATGATACCAAATAAGGAGGCTCTTTTCTAACTCCTATAGAGTGCTGAAGAGCCAACCTCCAGTCACAGATGTTCTGTGGAAAGCAACCAGGCTCTTCAAATACCTATTGAGTTCCAGATGCTTCATTTTAATAATTCTCTTGATAATATCAACTGCTCACTCCCTAAGGACAAGAAGGTGCCTAATGAATGAAATGTGTTTCCCTCTTTTTTTTCAGAGACTTGCCGGGATGTTTTCTGTCCAGGCAGCTCCACGTGTGTAGTTGACCAGACCAATAATGCCTACTGTGTGACCTGTAATCGGATTTGCCCGGAGCCCTCCTCTTCTGAGCAGTATCTTTGTGGGAATGACGGAGTAACCTACTCTAGTGCTTGCCACTTGAGAAAGGCCACCTGCTTGCTGGGCAGATCAATTGGATTAGCCTATGAGGGAAAATGTATCAGTAGGTATTCTGGATCGAGAAAAGAAAAAGAGACACCAGAGAACCAAAAACATGCGTTCCAATAGTCCGTGTAGGGCTAACCAAGAAATCCCATGTCCTCCCCAGTGTTAGAAATGCTCTCCAGTATGGGTAAACTGTTTTGACTAAAACATTCTTTCTGGAAACCATTGTCTTCTGGAAGCATTGACATATATATTCAAGCACCAGCAAGAATCAGAGACCAGTATTCAATCTTAGAAAACTTAGAACTCACACAATTTTACACATTTTTTTAAAAGTGCCAGACTTGCTGGAGGTGAAAAATACTTAACAGTTCCTAAAACTTGTTATCAAATTCCAGTAATTGAAGGAATTCTTTGTTGCTGTTTTTTTTTTTTTTTTTTAAGATCCCACTTGTAGGAAATAATCAGATGTATATTTAACTAAAAGATACTGTGAACTTCTACTCTGAAGAATACTATTTTTAATGCACTACTGCAGAATGTAAGAAATCATGATGTGTATGTTTAGGTCTTGATTGTAAAAAAGTTTTGGATAACATTATTTTCATTAGTAAGTCATAATATATAAAACATGTGTTTATGAATAGAGACTAAAGGAAGGGAAAAAGAGGGAAATGAGACGTTCAGTTTACTTATCACAGGTGTATTATATCCTAGAAGCAAAGTCCTGTGAAGATATCCAGTGTGGTGGTGGAAAAAAATGCTTATGGGATTTCAAGGTGGGCAGAGGCCGGTGCTCCCTCTGTGATGAGCTGTGCCCTGACAGTAAGTCCGATGAGCCCGTCTGTGCCAGTGACAACGCCACTTATGCCAGCGAGTGTGCCATGAAGGAAGCTGCTTGCTCTTCTGGTGTGCTGTTGGAAGTAAAGCACTCCGGATCTTGCAACTGTAAGTGTGATTTTTAACCTTGCAGCAATTTAAGGCTTTCCCAGGCAAGCCCAGTGGTGAGAAAAAAAAAGCATGCAGACCTCCTCACATAAACCTGTTTCTGTTTAACTTAATTTTACCAGCAATCCATTGATCCACAGACAGATTCTCCGCAGTGTTTTCTGGCTTTTAGGATCTACCTGATGGCCTTCCATTAGGTTACCACCTCTGAAAATCTCTTTGCAGTTGTTTGTCCTGCATTCTTTCCTTCTAGAACTTTGCTTTATTATTGCCTTGTTAACGCTGGAATCTAAACTAACTGCTTCAAAAGCTTGTGGTTGTTTTTTGCTTTTTGTTTTTTCAAAGACAGCTTTATATTATTACACCGGGGCTGCCGCTTTTTGCAGTTGCCGATACTAACTGAATTAAGAAGCCAAAGCAGTTATATCTAGAACACAAGAGCGCTTTTTATCTAATTTCAGGAATCTGCCCGTAAAACCTGAGCCATTGATTCTTCAGAACTTTCTGCAATTTTGACTTCATAGATTATGGGGTTTTTTTAATACTAAACTTATTGCATAACAGCAATGCCAAAAACAAAAACAAAACAAAACAAAAAAGCATCACACTGCAAGTCACATAAAAATGCAACGCTGTAATGTGGCTGTGTCAGAGGGCTTTGAAAACATACACTGAGCTGCTTCTGCGCTGTTGTTGTCCATATTTAAACAGCAGCTCCCCTGTATTCCCCATCTAGCCATTTCGGAAGATACCGAGGAAGAGGAGGAAGATGAAGACCAGGACTACAGCTTTCCTATATCTTCCATTCTAGAGTGGTAAACCTTCCACCAGTGTTTAGTGTTGGCATAGTCTTTGGGGAAAAAAAAAAAAAGAAAAGAAAAAAAGAAAAAAGAAAGAAAGAAAAAGAAAAAAAGAGAAAGAAAAGAAAAAGAAAAAATATATTGTCCATACTGTAAATAAGTGTATGCTTATTTATTTGGGGGGAAAACTATACATTAAAGGACCTTTGTCCTAAAGCTCTCTCCCAGGCCACCTTGTTCCTCACTGGGCAAGGAGAGCCGATTGTTGTGAGGTCTACTGGATGAGGCCCATAGTTGAGACTTGTAGACATTTATTTATACTGTGTCATGTTTTATAATTTATACATAAAATGTCTGGTTGACTGTACACCTTGTTTTTGAAGAAATTTATTCGTGAGAGGAAGAGCAGTTGTTATTTATTGTGAGGTCTCTTGCTTGTGAAGTAAAACCCTTTTTTTTTTCCTTGTAAACCATTTAAGTCCATTCCTTACTATCTACTCACTCACCTGTCTCCCTTTATCTCACTGTTAGGCTCTTTCCTACTTTTAACAAATTTGCATGTCAGTTTCTGTCATGTTTATTTATTGGATTCTCAGCTGCCTAATCTGTACATACATGATCCTTCGGGTTTTGTTTACAAGGAATCTTGACTGACCAAAAGGCATTATAACTCTGCCTCAGATACAAGGTACAGAGGATTTGCATCTTTGAGGAAACGCCTACTTCAGTTCTTTTGTTCTGAGGATGAAAACCTTGTGAGAGGGGATGAGAGAGGCATAAAAGTTCTAGAAAAATGTACTTTTAAGATGTTACAGATCCAAAGATATAGAGTGGTGTGTCAGGAGACTAAAGGAAGGCAAAGTCTATACTGTCAATGTGTCATTGGGTGTTTCCTTTAAGCTAGTCAGCTGTACCTTTTAAATTAGTTCTTTTTCAACCAATGT